TACTCTTACTCAGTTCCGTCACCTATTCTTTTGGTAGCATGGACATTCTTTTGGTAGCATGGTCGAAGGTTTAGGCACATGGGTATGGTAATTCTGGTATCAAGTCACTTGGATGGAAATAAAGGTAAAATACTGTGGGAGAAAGGAATACGCCTAAAGTACTCTAAAAACAAGTTTATTAATATGCAATCAATGGGGAAAGATATTGTAATAAACATATAACTACCAGGCTCACCTCCTGGGCTTATTGCCGACTCAGTTCCTACATTCTTACTCTTACTCACAACATTATTGGTGTTACATTACATGGCACTCATGGTAGATTATTTTACTCCACATATACGTTAATACTGACACTAACATATACAGGGTCCACTACCCAACATGGGACAATTATTTCCATCTAATTATCCCTAACATACATGTTACAACACTCTCTGTGGACATACACTTCCAAGGAGTAACCCAGGGTAGAGCACTGGGGCTCACGACTGTTGTTATTGTGGGGTAGCCAGACACATGGCGGGTCTGGCCCAACGAAGCCGTGGGGCGCATTAATCAGGCCGCATCGGTGCCATCGTTTCGTATATGATCCCTGTTGGTCATCTACTACATCCGAGGCCGTTGTTGAATGGTTGAGCGATTCAAGAATCACAATGGGATCTGGAGAAACATGGAAGCAGCGTCAAGGAACGTGACAACACAAACAACTCTCTTGTCTAGACGACAGACGTATTTACGTTATATTACTTCTACACTGGGTGAATGACAATTCAACTGTTAAATCATGAACACTGGTGAACACTGATATTCACTACAATTGACTGAATTAACTGAATGGCTACACAAAACATACCTGGAGAAACATGGAAGCAGCGTCAAGGAGCACTCTCCCTACGATACGATACGAAGTCTTTAGTTAAGAGGTGAAAGAAGATTATTAGGAGTTGAAGGAAAAGTGGTGAAACTGAAATACAGTTGGAGTAGAAAGAATCTGGGCTCAACCAGATCGCTTCATCTTTCTTATTGGTGTTTTGTCTTTGTTCTGCTCCCTTGGGTCGTCAGACCTTTGTATTAATATTGGTTTATTTATATAATGCTGCTTATTATTATTATTTTTATTATTGTTGGAGTTAGTGAGCCCGCCCAGGTCCTTGTGTAACTGGGAGGGTAGTCACATTTTTTTTTATTTTTTTTTTTTGAGGTGTTAGTTAAGTGTTAGTTGTGTTAGTCTAAAGGTACACTGTATGGAGAGGCCTGCCAGGTTCTTAGTGGAGCTGGTTGGTCACTCTCATCTTTATTCCTCTAGTAATGTTTTATGTAGAAATGTGTATATTGAGGCAGGAGGTGGTTCAATTACTTCTTCCTGGCTGATATAGCTGGGAGGGTAATCACATTATTATTATTAATATTATTATTTTTTTATTTTTTATTTATTTTTTTTTTTGAGTTAGTGAGCCCGCCCAGGTCCTTGTGTAGCTGGGAGGGTAGTCACATTTTTTTTTTTTTTTTTTTTTTTTTGGCTAAGATGTTAGTTCAATGTTAAATGTTAAATGTTAAATGTTAAATATTAGTTATGTTAGTCTAAAAGTACTTGGCTCGTCTTAGGGTATATATACCCCTGAGTTGCCAGTGATCGCTACTCCCGCAATGACAATAATTACAAACAAACTAACTGTTACTCATTCAAAGATGACCCTCAGTTGACAAAGGTCTGGCGAATTACTTGAGTTGATTTCCACAGACTAATTCAAGATTGAGCTTCCCAGGAGAAAGTGGAATAAACCACGCATTGACAACTGTCTTCACAAAGGCGGAACTCTGGGAGGGAACACAAGTGTAGCTTCTATGGAGAAAAAACACGTCTTCTCAGGGGTCTCTAACTCACTCATGTTTTGCGGGCGTGGAGTTTAATAAGAATCATTAGTTAAATAGATCAGCAGTCAACGTGACCATGACACCAGTATGGGCCAATAGGCCCGCTGCAGTTTCCTCCATTCTTATGTTTCTACTTGCCAACAGTGTGTAACAGAGACGTGACCAATCACCCAAGCGGCTAACAAGCCGATCAGTGGTTAGGAGAATAAAAGTAAAAGTAAAATACTGTATATTAAAGTTAGGGCCTTATTAAGTCTCATTTTCTCTTTCTATTTTGACGTAAACTAAAGTATTTAAGATTTATATCCAAGTTGTCTATCATTCTCGCCTTATTTCTCCCTGTGGCTACCAACATGAACCCGGTTTGTATCTACCTTAACTGGGAATTAAGGTAAGGTAAAGTAGGGGTTTAGTTTGGTGCCTACCTTAACACAGATTTGAGGTAAGATAAGAAATTTTGCCTTGAAATGGTATTTTCTTTAAACCTATCAGGAATTGTTGCCTTAATTCCACTTTGCTTAATTTCTGATTTTAAGATCAATCGATAATTTGATATAAACAAGGTACTTACCCTAACACAATCAATGATGACTTAACTCCAGTATTATTTAACTCCAAACACCAGGCATTTTCGTTAAACCCTGTAAAGTATTTAGACCTCCAACTACCCGGTATTTATAGTAATGTAATCCAGCATTTCTCCAACTTACAAGCAGTATTTTGCTTTTACTTAGGAAGAGAGGCAGAGATGGATCGACAATTAGATAAGCAAGAAGAGAGACAGACAGACAGATACACACAGATAGTCTGACAGAAAAATATACTAAGAGAGAAATAGAATGACAGACTGATAGACAAATAACAAGACAGGAAAATAAACAGAGCGAGAAAATTTCAGACAGAAAGACCCAAAACTAACAGAAACAGACAATGGTGTACATATAGTACTGTACTATAAGTTTCTGTAAATGGTGGGGTGTGCAAGACTTGAAAAATGAGATATATATCATTTCCATCCACTTATTTATTTTTTGTAAGCAAAGGGGGCCATTGCTGAAAGCCGTCCCCATCCCTATAATGGGAACAGACAGACAGATCCATTTAATGCAAGAGTCACTTACTTGTACAGTACAGTACTTTAATTTACTCCTCTTCACCACTTATCAGCCTGTTAGTCGTTTGGGCAGTCAGTTTCGTAAGTTATGCACTGTAGGCAGGTACTGGCTTCAGAATGTATCTAAACCTGCTCCAGTATTGGTCAAGTCTGGTTTTGAATGAGCTCACACTCCATGCCTTCACAACACTCTGGCAGATTATTCCAAGAGTTCACAAGCCAGTGATCTCTTGTGTGGTGGGCATCCACTAGTTCTCGGTATGAGCACTTGACTGAGTAATATCCTCCGAGATGTTTAGACTTATATTAAGTCAACCCTTGCCTTGCTTATTTGCTTGGTTACCTTCTCCTCCCAATGGTCTGAGAACTTCAGTTCATTGCTAACATGCACACCCAGGTCCTTTTCACATTTGGCCTCAATTAATTATGTTTCTTTGTACCGTGTCATCATCATCGTTTTTTGGCCATTTTCCACACTTGTGTAGGTTAGCTGTGGTTACCTGATGGCAGCTCTCTATGCTGCACGGCCTCTTGCAGTCTCTCTTGTTAAGTTCCTAACTCTAATGTCATTTTTTACAACTTCTCCCCATGTCATTCTTGGCCTACCACCTGGCTCTCCCCTCCACATTTAGGTTCATGCACCTCTTGACCCGTTGGTCTCATCCATTCTCTCCACATGTCTGAACTATCACAACCTGCCTCTGTGCAGGTATTAGGCAGCTACCAAACAGGGACGTATTACCGCCTGGGAAGATATTAGAAGCATAATGTGTTGTCTATGGTAAGCCCTGCTACTGTATGGCATTACGAAATTGTTACCAAGTCCCAGGTTGCTGATCTGACTTTCTGCCTCATTTACACACAATTGGAGGGTCTCAGTTGTTTCTCTTATTATTGACAACACAACATACATATATTTTTTCTCACCTTTGATCTTTTTTCATTTTTGTATTTCTTTATTATTATTATTGTAGTTGTTGCAACATTTTCGCCCCCCAGGCCCTGATGTGGGTCAGTGACCTGTGCCCGGATGGGCTAATCCCCGTAAAAAAAAAATAAAAAAATACTCAATACTTAGTTGCCCTCTTAGCTCTGTCACATTGCACATCCACCTCAACATTCTCATTTCAGCTCACCCAAATCTACTTATATCATCCTCCTTAACTGCCCATCTTTCACTGCCATACATCACACTTCTCACACCAGCTACAAATATTCTTCCTTTCATTCGGAGGGAAGGTCCTCTTGCTGTCAATAAAGGCAGTAGCTCTCTAAACTTCCTCCAGCCACTTCTGACTCTTGCAACTGAGCAGGCTTCAGCACCCCCACTGGCACTGATCTTGTCACCCAGGTAACAGAACTTATCAATGCAGTTCTGGGACATATCCTCAATGTTCAGTTTCTCCAGCCTTGTTGTGGGCACCAGGTTACCTGCACATACAGAACACTTAAAGTCAGCAACGTCCCACAGTTTCCCATCTACAGGTACTCCACTGCACCTCTTGTGTACCCACCTTCCACATTCTTTACATATTTCTGAGATGTTTGTTACAAACACCTTTCTTGCAAACATCACAGACCATTTTCACTTTCCTCCACAGGTCTCTCAGCCACACCACTAATTAATACTGTACTCCTGTTTTTCCCACATTATCTCTCAGGCCTGTGTGGACATGTAATATGTACTTGTAACATATAATCTCTCTCTCTCTCCTGTTTATGATCTGCTTTTTATTATTATTTTGTCTGTCTTTTTTCTTTTATTATTATTATCTACACCATTCTCACCGCCACACTCAAAACTAAAAAACAAATGAGAACTTTTCATACTTTCTCACATACAGTATGGGTTACCTCCATGCTCTGTTTGTACTTACCTCCACCAACATTGAACACTCGTGTTAAAAAATTCTCACATAAATAAAGCAGATGCCACTTGATAGTACAGATAATATGCTGAGGGTTGGTTCAATAAACATAAATAGTGTAAGCTAATAAAAATAGGAGGGAAAGAAACAATTTTTTTATTGTATTAGAATAACAAATTAATTATAAATTGCAGCAATTAGTAACCTTTATAAATACTGATAAATGGATAATTGTGAAAGGCTATAGTCATCATTGGTCCCTGTTAGTGTTTAAAAGTTAATTGTCACAGAAAAATATAATCCAACTCTCTTTCAACCTTTCCACACTATTGCCAGTTGGACAAATCTTACCCCCTCGCTGACTGATGACACCAATTCCACCATCCAAATCACACCAGATAATAACAGTGACCGGTTGCATCATGAAAAATTGGGTTTGAACTTTTTGAATTAATAGAGCTGCAGGATCAACAACAATAAGTTACTCATGATAACTTGTTGGCCATGAATAATGCAAGTGGTTGTACCAGTACCCAAGATGAACCAGTAGAAGGGGGTCTGGCAATTGTTTTACTCTTTCTGTTGCAACCCGCATCATCAACCAGTGAAAGGGTTTCGTACAGTAGGAGCAGTCCATTCCTAAGGAGAGTTTTGTACCTCCAGGACCCTTCGTCGAGATTTGACCTCGTCCCAGTCTATGTAGCAGCCTTCAACATGTCTCTCTCCTGAACCTGACATATAACTTGTGCGTCCATGTACAATCCTCATGTTGTCAAAAGTTAGAATCATACCTGAAGGAGGAGATTGATTTTTTATAGAAACAGAAGACTGCCCACATCAAGAATTTCAAATTACAAGTACTGTACTGTAAATGCAGAAATTATTAGTTGATCACACATGCAACACAATGTATAAAGACCATCTTATTATGAGTTGAATATATTTTTAAATATGATGAATTTACCACATACGGGTTTAAAGAATTGACAAACTACCGTAAATCCCCACCAGACCACAGCCCTCGGGAGGATAGACTGCCAGCCCCTAATTGAGACCAAAAGTTCAACTGAATAACATTAAATCTCCCTCAAAGGTTCTCATAAAGAGTTGGTGGTCATGGAAAAACAAATTATACCTGAAGTGTGTTTATGTTCATGTAGGCACCATGTTTAGTGATACAGTGGTTTAACTTAAGATATTATAATCACAATATTAAACACCATATTATACAGTACTGTACTGTGATTAAATTAACAGATTTATATAATGAAATAAGCTATGTACAAAATTCAAGCTTGCTATGAGTTAAGCTTCAGTGAAAAAGATGAGGGTAAGAAATATATAGTACAGTACAGGGTATAAGAAATATTGTATGTAAGGCTTTTGATTATACCAGAACATGTGCCACTGATGGTCAAGTTTGGACTTAAAAGAGCTCATACTTGGTGCCATCACATGACTCTATGGCAGGTTATTCCAAGAGTTCACAACCTTTACGTCAAAGCACATGTAGTCCCTATTTAATGCAAGAGATATGTTACCAAAAATTCCCATGCTGTGTAAATTTGTGTAAAGCAAATCCCAAAGAGCCATTGAAAACCATGTAAAGGATGAGGGATGCATGCTGGACGGAAAGATACAGTAGAGTGTGCAACACTGGGGTACTGGACCACAGCCACAAACCATACACTAAACTGACCTTGAATCTGAACAACTGCTTCCTGGACTGCAATTGTTCAGACACAAGGTGACTCATGGAGCAAAAGAGCTAAATGGATTTTGTTTCTTTTATTTATTTGGGTGCATCCTGAGGGAACTGCATAGTTTGGGCTGTGCTAGCAGATGATGTGCCCTCTAGTGCTGCTACATATTGAGGTCTGGGAAAAAATACATTTTCATCAGCTGATCAACTGTCTTTGTTTGATAGTTATTTATTAAACTTTTAAAAACATATTTACTAAAACATATTAAAAGTAAATAATGCTTCTCCAAGAACTGACACACTAGACATTTAATGGTGGTCTTCTACAGTAGAGGTTACAGCCTCAAGTTATGGAAGTCAGAGTTGGAAACTGTTGTGCAGTAATAACCTTGTCAAGAGAATGTTGTGACATTAAGAGTTATAACTGTTGTGCAGTAATAACCTCGTCAAGAGAATGTTGTGACATTAAGAGTTATAACTGTTGTAATAACCTGCATCAGCAAAAATTGTACACTCTCCCTTTTCAAACACTCAGTAACTTTCATTTTCATCTCTAACAATATAGATCTTCTTTGTCTCTTATCAGCATCACTCATTTTATTTTTTGGTAACTTTGCATTTATGATGATGAAGGTTAATAAAGACAAATGAAGAATTAATAGAGAATTGGCAGTCACTATGATATGTATGTGACCCATAGAACAGTCAGAGGCAGAGTGATGCAGTCAACAATCAAAGGCAGGCTGGCATGATGATGCCATGACAAGCTGCACCTCATGTTAAACCAGGAACACATTTGTGCAAAGGAAACAGTTTCCCTAATTGGTTCTCCATGCTAATGTGAAACTTGTGTTGCATGAACTCATGTTAAATGGGGACTACAGAAGTGCAATGTCCCTTACATGGAGTACTGTAGTTCTGTTTGGTTTCTTGGCAAGATTCAGCTTCTTCCAAATAAATGTAATTTTAAATACTGTACAAGACTTTAAGTCCCCCACTAGCTAAGATTACATAATGATTAGTTACATTGACATAATCATGTTCTTCAGTCAGGTCAGCTGTACTTAAAAGCTCATTGTAAATCATTCTATAACAAGTTCTGGAACCCTACACAATCATAATCAAGAATTTCCAAACACTTACAACAAATAAATTAATACAGAGCAAAATGTTATTACTACATGCAGTGCTGTATATATGTTTTAAACATTTACACCAAAAGGAAACATACCAGGTACCATCTTGAACTGAAGGCAATAGTTTGGGCTGGAAAGAAGATGATGGTACGTAATCATGGCATCATACCAGCCAGCCACCTCATTTGCTGGGATAGAGAAAAATGAATCTCGCTGCGGTTGGCTCATGTTGATGCGATATATCTCCCCGCTGACATCAGTACTGTAGGAAATACACATCAATTAAAAAGCAGGCCTTGTCATAATTTGGATGATGGTGCTGGTGATACCTGTTACCGCCTCCAATGCCGTGCGACGCAAAGGGCCTCTACATATTCGTCTTATAGTTCAGATCCATGTAAGCCTCTCTCAATACTCTATCATGACACACATGCAGAAGGTGCCCCAGCCACCTCCATCTATTCTTCATCAGCCATTCATATATATAGGGAACATTTGTGACTTCTCTTATCGTTTCGTTTCTAATACGATCACGCCATCTTATGTTCAAGATTCTTCTCAATGCCTTATTCCTGAAAGTTCGGATCTTCTGGATAAAGAGTCATTATCATACCAAGATTCACTTCATATACCAAAACGGGTCTTACCAGTGACGTATAGAATCCCAGTTTGGTATGAACTGTAAGTCTATGTAACTTCCACATTTTGCCCAGTATACCCATAACTTGATGACCTCTTCTTATTCTGTCCTGAAACTCAATTTCATGGTCTATTTTCATAACCTCTGTTTTTCTAACATTAATCATTATCCAGCTCCTTTTCCCGTTTTCTCTAGTCTGCTAACCATAGTTTGCAAATTCTGAATGGATCTGCTGATCAGTACTACATCGTCTGCATAATCAATGTCTGCGAGGTATTTATTGTCGACCCATTCGATCCCTTCTCTTTTATCACCCACTGTCTCTCTCAATACGAAATCAGTAAGTACAGCGAACAGCAATGGAGGCAAAACATTGCCTTGCAATACCCCATTCTGGACATTGAATTCTGGGGAAAGTTGGCCATCAACGTTCACACAACATCTGCTACCCTTGTGAATTTCTTCTATCAAACGAACGAATTTTTCTGGCATTCTATAGTTCCGTAAGATTTTCCACATACAGTTGTTGGTCCATGTATGCTATCGAAAGCTTTCTCAAAATCGACAAATGCCATTATCAACGGTTTTCTGAATTCCACTCTGCTGTATTATGTGACGTAGTGCGAATACCCGGTATATGATCACTGCAGCTTCTTGATTTTCTGAACCCTGCCTGTTCATCTCTTAGCCTTTGGTCTAAGGATTCCTGAATCCTGTTCAGTATAACTGGACAGAAAACCTTCGATACTATTCAGGTTAATGTTATCCCTCACCACTCTCATAAATCACATTTCTTGGGCAGTTTTATAATGATTCCTTCTTTCCATTCATCCGGCACAATCTCGGTGCTCCATATTTCTTGAAATAGCTTTAATATTATTACTTGAGGTGCACCATTCGCTTCGGCTTTCAGCATTTATCCAGTTATTCCATCTAGACCTGGTGCTTTCCAGTTCTTCAATTGTTTTAGCACCCTTTCAATTTCCCTCACCACAATGACACCCATATTGACATCCAATTGTTCTTCAGTTTGATACTGGTAGTCTTTTTCTTTTCCTGCCTCTACCTGGTGATACAGATGACATTAGTGGTGGTTTTGTAAGTAAACAGTGAGTAGTAGTGGTTGGGGTGGTTGATTATGTACAGTAAACCCTTGTTATTTGCAGGCTTGCAATTCGTGGTAAGCAGATGGCGGCTATCTTACGAGCCTCTCCCGCAGTGCAACGAGTCACCCCCATGCGCCTGCAGTGTCTCCTCTCCTTTGTTTGCGCTCAACCATTGGCTGTGATGCAGCATCTCTTGTGTTGTGCTCAAAACTTTAGTGTTTCTGTGTGAAAAGGCCCCTAAAAGGCTGCCTAGTGTTAGTGCTAGTGACAAAGAAAGTTGAATTATTAGATAAGTTAAAAGGGGGGATGAGTGTTGCCGCGGCTGGTCGGTTGTTTAGTATAGGTATACAGTAGTCCACTAAGGTAGTATAAGTTGCTATTCGCAGTTTTACCTATTCACGCCATTCCTTGGAACCTAACCCCCACGAATAACAAGGGTTTACTTTACTGTACTGTATTATGATGCATTTCACAATACATTATTTGTCTTGATACAGTACTATTCCTATTAAGAGTTTGTGTAAAACAACATGACACAATGGATGAAGGACTTTGACAACCCTACTAAGGCAACAGGAGAGTCACATAATTTTGGGAAAGAACTCAGTAGCTCCATTCAATCCCCAGGACATGCCAAGTAGCTATCAAGCTCCTTCAGTTGAGTGAACTGTCCCTCTAATTGGGGTGTGGCTATGATGATGTCACTGTTAAATTCTAATTGATGAATCACTGAATTTTTCACACCATGCAACATCTAGACATCTGGCGGGTGCTGTGTTGGTGGGGGGCGGTGGTACTTAGTGATTTAAGCAGAATTTTAAGAACATAAGAACTTAAGAATGGAGGAAACTGCAGCGGGCCTATTGGCCCATACTGGGCAGTCCCGTTTACACCCAACCCCTATTGCTCATATAAGCATCCAACCTATGTTTGAAGCTATTCAGTGTATTCAGGTTAATGATGATATTTGGTAACTTGTTCCATTCATCCACTACTCTGTTTCCAAACCAGTGTTTACCTATTGCACGCCTAAATCTAAATTTGTCTAATTTAAAACCATTGTTACAAGTTCGCTCCTGGTTGGATTGTTTGAGTACCTTTGTAATGTCCCCTTTGTTTAGCCCTGACTTCCACTTATACACCTCTATCATGTCGCTCCTCGCTCTACGTCTCTCGAGGGAGTGCAAATTAAGATGCTTTAACCTGTCTCTATACTCAAGGTTCCTAATGCCCGGGATTAGTCTTATCATTCTCCTCTGAATTCTTTCCAATGATTCTATATCCATTCTGTAATACGGTGACCAGAACTGAACTGCGTAATCCATGTGTGGTCTCACAAGCGCAAGATACAGTTTTAGGATGACCTCGCTAGTCTTGTCTCTAACACTCCTTTGTATGAACCCAAGTACTTTATTAGCCTTGTTACGAGCAAAACACATTGTTTACTTTGCTTAAGGTTCCTACTTATCATTACTCCTAAATCTCTCTTGCAGTCGGATTTCTCTATGGCATCGTTGCTCATCTGGTATCTGGTTTCCCTGTTTACATCTCCTATACTGAGTACAGTACTTTACATTTGTCCACGTTGAATTTCATCTGCCATTTTTCAGACCATTCGAAAATTTTTTTAGATCTTCCTGTAGTTTTGCGGAGTCCTCGTCAGATTTAATAACACGTCCTATTTTAGTGTCATCAGCAAATTTACTTATGTTGCTGTCTATGCCGATATCTATGTCGTTTATGTGTATAATAAATAATAATGGTCCAAGTACTGAGCCTTGGGGAACTCCACTTGTGACGTTGCTCCAATGGGACTTAGTGCCGTTAATGCTCACTCGCTGTTTCCTGTCCTGTAACCACGCCCTAAATACACTCAGTCTCACACCTATGTATAGATACAGGCTTTATATCTAAAAGGGAATTTTGTAAACCATTTTAGAATCACAGCCTCTTTGAAAATAATTTTAGGGACTGGTATATGCAAAGAGCAACTGACATTTAACCGGAAGACCAAGCTCTGTAAGAAAGGTGGGGGAGAAGAGAGGGGATAAGAGGGTAGGCTAGGTGAGGTGGGTGGTCAAGGTGCTAATGGACACAAGAATATCAAATGGAAAGTTCGCTGTCATGGCCACTGCCACCTGACCTGACCTAACCTGATGTCACCTCACCTCACGAGTCTTTTAGATTTGTGACCACGTGGTGTCTCCCCACACCCACACCATACCCTTCACGACTCCACCTATACCATACCCTTCACCCACACAACTCTTTTTACTATAGTTAATAATTAATTAATTATTTTAAAAATATATTATTAGTTTGCCACAGACATTAAAACTCTTTGGTTGGGACATGTAACGAGTAACGATTTTTTTGTCACTTGTATTGGAGTAAAAGTATTAGAAAACCATACTTAAGTAAATGTAAAATTACTAAAAAGTTTGAGTACTTTTTGAAAAATAAGTACCCAAAAAATGTTACTTGAGTACAGTACTCAAGTAAATTTATTTAGTTACTATACAACTCTGATTTTAGAACAAATGTACAGTATAGCTGTTACTGTATTATGTGCCGAGATGTTGACGTGTAATGTTGAACCAGACAGTGGTGGGTACATGTGGCAGTCGACAAAGTTAAAAAGAAAACCCAGACATTCAAGGCGTGGGTTAGATCAAACGATGAGCAGGACAGGAGGATATATGAAATAGCCAGGAACCAAACAAGTCAGAGTGTAGAAGGACTGAAAAGGAGTTCCACAGGCTGGTTGCAAGCGAGGTCAAGTCAAACCCAAAGGCATTTTATCGCTATGCAAAGTCAAAATTATAAACGTGAGTAGGAGTATCGAACATGAGGCTTGAAGATGGTAATTATGCAGATTCTGACCAGGACAAAGCTGAGGCATTGAACAGTTTCTTTTCCTCAGTGTTCACAAGAGAGGATGTGATCAATCTTCCTGCACTTGAGGACAGACGGTTCGACACAGCACTGACCCACATTGTGTTCACAGAATAGGTTATAAGAAATAAACTGTCAAAGCTAAAGGTTCTTAAAAGTCCCGGCCCTGACATGGTGCATCCCAGAGTACGAAGAAAGTTGTGCAACGAGCTTGCTGAGCCCCTGAAGATCCTGTTCTGTAAATGCCTGGATGAGCAAAGGGTCCCGAGTGATTGGAAAATGGTTTATGCAAGTCCTATCTTCAAGAAGGGAGATCGTCACTCCACGAATAACTATAGACCAGTGGGCCTGACCAACATAGTAAAGTATTTGAGAGCATTATAAGAGATGTCATGATGAAACATCTACTACGAAACAACCTTGTAAAGGATTGCCAATGCGGTTTTATGCCGGGGCGCTCCTGCTTAACACAATTACTCAAGATAATGTATTGGGCCCACTGTTGTTTATTTGCTTCATAAATGACATGCCTGATGCTGTGCATTCCTCTATACAAATGTTTGCGGATGATGCCACGTTATTTAGAGAAATTAAGAACCAAGCAGACAGTGAAGAGCTACAGAAGGATCTCGGTGAGTTTCAAGAATGGCCAAAGAAATGGCTGCTAAGATTTAATGTCACAAAGTGTAAGAAGCTGTACCTGGGCAGGGCCGGATTTACCTACTTGTGGGCCCCAGGCCAAACTCATCAGTGGGCCCCCAAAGGTCCCTATACTTATTGTACAGGGGCCCTTATGGTTGTGAATATATTATATAATGAAATACTCGGTGTACACTCGAAACAAGGTTATACGCTGCGCGACAAATTAGTTTCAGTGGGCCCCCAGATACCGGTGGGCCCTAGGCCAATGGCCTACTTGGCCTGTTGGTAAATCCGGCCCTGTACCTGGGAATCAGGCAACTAAATTATCAGGTCTTATAAGAAGGTCTTTCAGATATCTATATGGTCCATCCCTCATAACGATCTTCAAGAGTGAGGTGCTTCCCCACCTGGAGTACTGTCACCCCATCTGGTCCCCGAGATATGCTAGGGACTGTCAGTTGATTGAAAATGTCCAAAGGAGGGCCATCAGACTGGTGCCTGCACTTCGGCACCTCAGCTACCCTGAGAGATTAAAGCGCCTGAAATTGCCTAGCTTATACTACAGACGGGCAAAGGGGGACCTAATTGAGGTGTATAAACACCTCAAAGGGCACTACTCAGTCGAGTGCCCTGATCTGGAGCTGGCGGACGCTCACCCCACAAGGGGTCACAGCTCAAGGTTGAAGAAGCCGCAAGCCCAGAAAACTGTGAGGGGTAACCTTTTTCAGAGTGAGAGTTGTGAACTCTCGGAACAATCTGCCAGAGAGTGTAGTGACGGCACCGAGTGTGAGCTCTTTCAAGGCCAGTCTTGACAAGCACTGGAGCAGGTTCAGGTACATTCAGGAGCCAGTGCATGCCCAGTACTTGCCAACAGTGCGTAACAGAAACGTGACTGATCGCCCAAGCAGCTAACGAGCCGATCAGTGGTGAAGAGGATAAAAGTAAAAAAGAAAAAGTAATTATCATGCCTGGCAGCACACCTGGTTGACTGCTTGGTGATGATGATAAGTGTTGGGCGTCAACTTCCATCTGCAGTCAAAAACACAACAAAGAAAAGTAAAAGTAAATTGATTATCGTCTTCAGCGGCTCTTGGATATTCAGTTATTTTTCTGGAGGTTAGATAGACGGATAGATATTTAGATACCAGTAGATTGATATTTATTAAGCACATATTCAGTTGAAGTTATGCATCAATAACCCTTTCCTGTTGATTGTCTTACTTTAGATTTTATTCAGCACAGGCAAACCTCCAGGAGTCAAAGCATTAAAAGCTTTATACTGTACAGGTATTCCAGATCTACAATCTCCCTATCTACGATATTCCGCTTTAATGATGGTGATATATTAAGACCTCAATGTAAACAATCCACATGGAGGATGGTCATCGTCTGTCCTGAGCACTTTACAGTCACAAAAAACATAGTAAAATTCTCTTCAGTCACCAAAACAGAGTACAGTGTAAACGTTAGTGATGTCCTCTCACTGTAATTTAAAAGAAAACACCGATGATAAGTTACAACACTGATACTGACCGATAATCATTGAATTACATAATTGCGGCCATGTGGCATCACCATACATCGTGTAATTCAAAGATTATCAGTCAGTAGCGGTGTTGATACTTATCAATGTTTTTTTGTTTGTTTGCCTTACAGTGAGGGGACTTCACTAACGTTCACGTTATACTCTACTTTGGTGACTGTGAAGTGATTTTTGCTTTTTTTTTGTGAATGTAAAGTGCTTTGTGTTTTGCTATCAACATGTGAGCAGTGGCGGTCACTATCATTGTTTTTGCGTTACCATGGTTCGCTCTGTTTTTGTGACAAGTTCTTTCGCTCTGTTTCTGTGACTGTGAAGTGAGCAGTGTTCTTAATGATGTGGCGAGTATTGTTTAATTGTTTTATTTATCTCATTAGTGTAAGATTTTTTTTTCGGTGATAATTGTGGGTGTTAAACTGGCTGGGAACATAACCCATTGAACCCCATGTAATAATGTTCCCAATCTATGATATTTCACCTAGTGATGGGTTTTCAGGAATCCAACCCTATCATAAATAGGAGGATACCCGTATTGTGTATTATATACTACAGATACATCAGTGTATTGTTCTGAGGTAGCCTGAGTGTCAAGCGGCAGTGGCGTAGCTAGAGTGTGTGCCGCCCGGGGCGGCCCTTGAGTTTGCCGCCCCCCCCACCGTGCCCCCACAACAAATACATATTGCACAGTGACTCAATCTTATATATATATATATATATATATATATATATATATATATATATATATATATATATATATATATATATATATATATATATATATATATATATATATATATATATAAACCCCGACTTACGACGGGGTTAGGGACCCAATAAGGTCGTAAGTCCGATATACTGTAGATAAAAAAAAAAAAATCTACAATGAAATACAGTACAGTAAAAGTAATGAATAATGATGAATGGATACAGTACAGTGAAAGTAATAAATAATAAGGAATGGATACAGTGTGACTGAGCACTTAACCTTTAATGTAGTCAGCTGAATGCACATGGGGCCCCCATAATTTTCTAATTATACATGGAGACTACATTAACTGGAAACGTTTCGGTATAGAAAATGCGTGTCATTTAAATTTTTATCTATATCTGAGGCGGTCGTAAGTCCACGTAGTCGTAAGTCGGGGTCTAGGTGTGTATATATATATATATATATATATATAAATAGTTTGTGTACCATTATAATATTACTGTACTTTCACATACTCAAATATAGTATGCTTTAAATACACACCAAACATACTTAAACTTTATAAGTAACAGTTAAACAAAAAGCAAAAACGACATATAGGATAGGGAAAAAAGTAAAAAAGTGTAAAAAATTAGGACCATCTTTATTTCTGAAATGAAAACTACAACTTTCTACAAAGTAACTTTTCTTGTTTTTTTGTTGGCAAATTCTTCAATGACATTGTCAAAAACTATTTCATCTGTCAATTGTCGCTCTATAGACAGTATGGCAAGATTTCTCAACCGCAAGGTGCTCATAGTAGATCTTAAGTAATTCTTGATCAGTTTTAGTTTCGAAAAACTCCTCTCACAGGTAGCAACACTAACAGCAATTGTGAGGAAAATCCTCAGCATTATTACTATATTTGGAACCGAGTTCCCAAGGTTATACTTTTGAATAAACTGCAAAAGTTCAAGGGGGCCTTCTTTCCACGTCTGTATTCTGTCTTTAATAGTTATAGCAGCAACAGCAACAAAATGCTGAAGTCTTTTTCTCTCAACGAGGAACTCCTCTTTATCAATGTCGTCGTGATCGTGATCTATTTGACACTCATATTTATCATCCAAAAGATTCAATGGGGTAAGGAAGGCATATTTCTCAGCAAGTTCATGAAGCTGTTGAAATCTCAAAGTTATTTCTTGGATCACTCTGTCCAGCGAAGAAAACATTTCTCTCCTCAATTCAATGTCGTATGGCAATTCAGCATCTCGTGATCCTTCACCAAACATTTGTTTCTTCTTTTTGGGTCGACGCTGACGCTCCATGACTATCCCCAGATCATTGCAAATTTCTTTGGCATAGTGAACTCCATTACTCACTAGCTTGTCCCTGTTTTCAACTAGAAATGTTTCTAATGCCCTGAGTTTTATATCACATTGTTGTATGTTCAAGCCCTTGGTTTGGAGGTAAGTCTGTGTGTCATTAATTTCTAGAAGGACGGGTCCCCACAGGCCAAGAAAGCTGCAGATATGGGTGATGAGCAGACCCAAGCAGACCAAAAGTGCCGCCCGGGGCGGACCGCCCCCCTCCCCCGCCCCCCCCCCGAGCTACGCTAGTGTCAAGCGGGCTAAAATGTGTTTGGTTAGAATGACGAAATGGGTACATAACTGAATATACATTCCTTATTCAGATATACAGATGCTCATATGTACTATTCAAACAGCAACTATCATGAATATATAACTGTCTTACCATATCATAGGGATCTGGAGAACTTTGTAAAATGCTCCATATTCATCAGTGCCAACGTCAAACCAGTCCACAGGTGTCTGGGTGAGGATACGAAACTTCTCAGGATGAAGTCTCTTTAACTCCTGAGCTACATGAACAGCGTCGGTGATCTGAGACTCTCCTCCTTTACCCTCGTACTGGACAATACAGTGGATGAACTGGACCTAGGAGATTTATGAGTCAAATGAATAACCATAGTATATTGCCTTTGTCCCCCGCCCCCCCCCTCCCCTTTTTTTACGGGGAATAGCCCACCCGGGCACAGGTCATCGACCCACAATGGGGCCTGGGGGGCTAAAAAATAAGAGTAAAAAGAAATAAAAAATAGAAGAGAAAAAGATTATATTAATCTACACCACAAAGATGCCGGAAAACCAGCTTTTTGAAGTGAGACAGATTGTATGAATATGGAAACACAGAAGAAGGCAGAGCATTCCACAGTTTGGCTGTGTGAGGAAAGAAGGATGTACAGTACTATAACGGGTTATTCTAGTGTGACCGACATCCACACAGAAACAGTGGGCACGGGCAAGACGAGTGTTACGAGCCCACAGCCTTGCCGGCGGTACACAGGATGCCAAATCCACCGAACATTGTCCGTTAAAGTACCTGTAAATGAGAGAGTGAAGCAACATTGTGGCGAAGAGAAAGGGAAGAGAGATTAGCGACTCAGGGAGGAGAGTTAATAACCATAGTAGTTGGGCGCTTTAATTAGATTCAAATACAATAGTAAATCACCAAAAAATTATATTAACCAGTGACATCATATACAGGGTGTGCATAAATTACCTGACTCATTTAAAACCTATTGAGCTCAAGAATTTTGTAAATAAATTATGCTGATTTTATTATACTTGATGAAATAAATAAAAAACTTATATGTTGTTTGTCAAGTTTAATAAAAATGGTCTGTTCTATCTACAATGTAATTGAAGTTGTTAAGTACTCACTCCTGGCATGTACTCACCCCAGTCATGTAATCACCCCTGGCATATACTCACCCCAGGCTTGTACTCATAGTATGGAAGGTCGGCATGGAGCTGCAGGGGACTATCAAGGTATGCCACGTTGCTGGGATCTGGTTTGATCTTCACAGTAAAATCTTCCCTACAAAGAAATGTAATGACAATTGATGAGTTCTCCTTCAGTCATGATCTTTATTGTCCAGTATTAGTACAGGAGGAAACCAGAGTACTGAGAGGAAGCTTGCCATGTTTGGTAGGATCACACTGGATAACACCTATCTTACATCTGACCTGGGCTGGAGATTAAACCCAGGACACAGTATTGAGAGATTTGTTCATTACACCACCACCAACACTTGACCTGTGAGATGACTAAGACCATTAAACACCCTCTCCTTGTCTTTTAGACAGCCTAATTGGCAGGTACACTGTGGAAGTTGGACTTTTGTTACCTAGATTATTCAAGGCTGCTTAGATCCCAGTGTTAAAGTCAGAGGTCTATGGAAATTTCAGTTTCTCTGTGTAGACTTAGATTCATTTGCTCATGTGGTTTATAACTTTCTTTCATCATAAATTATACATCATACTCAACCCCTCAGTTGTTCTTAATCTAAGTTTCAACCATATCAAGAGAGGAGGGAGGGATTCCAGATCACATGTTTATTCCCCTCAGTTACAAAACAAGATTACATATTATATCAATCCTTCATTTATGACCTACAGGTCCTCAGTGAGGTATCAACAATATTCTTACTAGCTAGAAATCGAATGCAGGAGGCCATATCATATCACAAGCCATGGTATACTCCCCAAAGTGGAAGTACTGTAACTTGTAAATAGTACTGTGCATCTACATCTGAAGGCCATAGTCATGAAACTCAGACTCCTTAAATTTAGTCCCTTGAGATAAGGACTGCAACACAAAGCTAGACTCTTATTTCCTGAAAGAACTTTAAAACTACAGTACTCTTCAAATCAAAACATCAGAGTAATGTACAGTGATGGCCACACACATGATTTATAAATACTTGATAAAATAACATGTACTGTACTTGTTTTTGTGGGTGCTCAGTGAAAAAGTCAGGTAAATTTTTCTGCCAGCCATCTTTGCTGCATATGCCTGCTACAGTGTCCAAAAAGGGGGAGCATGTCTCTCACTCTGTAAGAGATGTTGCCTACTACCACTCTGACAGGCAGGCAAAAGAAGAAGAAAAAACTTTGCCCTTCCACAATGGTTTTCTATTGTATAGAGTAGCATAAATCTTCATATGTCTGACTCAGCAAGTTGACAAGCACTGTGCCTGTCTGCCTGCCATGTTGCCTCGAGGACCATTTGCCACCCCCCATCCATTGACTACTATTTCCAAAGGGCATTTACAAGCTGAGTTTACATCTTTGCAGTGGCCATGGACTCTTGTGTATCTACAAAACAGCTGCAGGCATGGGGGAAGCATTGAAATAAACTCCAGTGTTAGTGACCACTGCACGTCAGAGGATAGGCAAGTAAAGAATTACCATGTGAACCTTACAAGTTCCCTAATGCCATATGGAGGGTGACAGACTTATGAAACTGTCTACCAGCTGAAACTGTGGAAATAAGAGCAGTATTGGGCTTTAAAATAGCCCAAACAAAACTATCATAAAACTTCAAAGGGACACTATTAAGTTGATCCAATACAAAAGCGCTAAACCAAAATAATGTTTAGTCCAAATAAAATCTGAAAAGTTCCAACTTAAAATCTGAATAAAATAACTGGGCAAACCAAACAGTATCTACTATTAAAACTTCCATCAATAAAAATTTGTATCAAATCGTAAACATACAGTTTATTTGTAGATATTAATACTGTTATAATAAACCTGAGTATATTGACTCTAAAATTATGACTTTATAATCACTGTTAAAACATTTATGCTTACATTATACAATATCTTCTTTAACTATACAAAAGGCCAAAGTTAACTTACCCATAATGAGTCTTCTTGATGAAGCCAACTCTTTCTGCCAGTGAGCGAACATGTCCAGGTTCAGCTGGCGCTCCACTCACCAGGACAAACCCCAGCACCTCTAGCTGCTGCAGCCAAGTTAGCAAGGCTTTATCATCTGTGAGCAACTCCTGGAATGATGCCCTGGGAAGGTTCTTCAGTAACTCAGCTCCCCAGTACCTACGACCTAACCTGTATTTCAGAAGAGGAAAAGTAAATTGGATGATATCGAGTACATTACAGTATGTTATGCTGAACGAAATTTTTGAAAGCAAAGTAATACATTATTCTCTTAAAGAAAAAATTAATTCTGAAATCGTATTTTTTTGCCAAGGGCTGGGTGAGTGACATTGAAATATCCCGTTTCACTGTACACACCATGACAGTGCCCACTGTACTGTACATTACAGACCAAACTTTCGCTTGCAATAGCTGGAAGCATTACTCTTGAGGGGAGCACCCGGCTGAAAATACAATGAAAATCGGAAAATTACGAAAATTTTCAGAAAAATTCCTGAGAAAAGGTGTTGCCTATATTTGCTGACGTATTTTGATTACATAGTTCATAATATTTATGTATCTTTGCATGATTGTTCTACCCCCTTCATTTAGAGGGCCCTTCTGTTTAAGTAGCAAAAGCTGTAGAAAAGTATTTATAATATTTTTGTGTAAAGTAATACCAATCACTCGGTAAAAATCAGTATCTGGCACCTTCCTCAGCTAGCTCGCAGCAGGACGAGAGTCAGTTACCCATTAAAGAAGCGAAAGTAAGGTTCAACCGTGTGTTGCTCTTGCGCCACCTTTATTGGCCCATATCTCAAAAAGAGTTTTTCTAACATTCTAATCACTAAGGCTCGGCCATTTATGGGCCGATTCTAATAAAACAAAAACTAAGGAGCAGAATACAGTGATCCCTCGTTTAACGAACACCTCGGTTAACGTAATTTCGATTAACGAACTGCCTTCCATAAGGATCTTCAATTCGGTTAACGAAAAAAAATTCGCTTAACGAACTTCTTACGAACCGACCTCAACATGTTTTCGCTTGCACTGACCGGGCAACCAGGTTTAGTATCAGTCCGCCAATACATTAATCAGTTCTAGGGCTTAAATTCCTTACTATTTTTGTAAATATCAAGAAGTTTATACTATTCAATAATTTTAAAAGTTTAATATTCAATTTTTTAGTCATTTTAACAATTATTGAACAAAATTGAAGGTAAAGTGACTAGTTTAATGCGCGGCATCCAGCCTCTTAACACAGCAAACAGGCGTCAGTCTCTCTCTGTTTTCACTGGAGGTAACATCTTGCTTGAGACTCTCTTCAACTAAACGCTTTTTTTCTGTGTTTCCAAGCAAATTATTGGTCATTTTGAAATATATTTTATATATTGACAATATATAATGCAGTGCAGCGTTGATTTAAAGAAAATAATCTTGAATTAAACCAGAGAGCTAAAATTTTATGGGTGAAATGGCACCATGGGGTGACTTCTCTTCCACCCCAATGCCTTCTCTTCTTCCTTCTCCTCCACCCCCATTCTAAATCCCATCATCATCATCATCATCCAGGAGCCTTCTACATACACACCTCAAAGTAAGTGAACTTTTCTACCATTTTTGTTGAATTTAGGAAATTTTCGGTGAGCTGGAACCAATTACCCAAAAACCCATTGAAACAATGGTTTCGGTTAACGAACGTTTCGGTTAACGAACGACCTTCTGGAACGGATTGAGTTCGTTAACCGAGGGGCCACTGTAACATATTGTGCATGGCTGAACATATAGATTTTCCTTATATTTGGTGTGATTTATTATTTGCTGATTTATCTATAAATATTTGGAAGAAAAAATTCACACACCCAAAATGTAAGCGATAATCAGAAATATCTATATGTCATGTTCAAGAGGAGTAAATTAACTACTGTATATGTACTCCACATGAATTTCAACGTAATTTAGCGAGAAGTTACGGAGAAGTAGGATTTTGAAGGTTGATAAGAATCTAAGGGAAAAATCAGAGATTAGGCAGAACCAATTCAGGGGTATAGCAACAATGTATCTGGTGTCCTTAATTGCTGACAGGAAATGGTTATTGACAGATCAATTATTAACGAATTTCGTGCTTCAGCCGGACGCTCCCCTTAAGGATAACATAGTGCAATAAAAGCACTCACCAATTTACATCGCTAATGATCTGATACCAGTTATACAGTTTTTTTTTTTACATATTAAGAAAAAAACAGAAGGTACACACAACATTGCTAAAGCTACTAAACATGGTTTCCCTCGTGGCTTGAGACTGAAGTTACCTCTAGTAGGATGATTTGCCTGATGGAGGATGTATGACAGAAAAAAAGCTCTAAATAGTTAATTGTTCATTTCCTTTAATAATTCTATGTCAAGTCTTGCATTTGTTCCTCCTATATTTTCATAATATTATAAATTCCAGTTTAAATGTGAATTGCATTATATACAGGTGTATACTGATAATAAAACTGTCATGAAATGCTTGGTGATCTGGGACATCATATATCACATGAGTCACTTACTGAAGCCTGTATGGCCAAGAAGAGAAAATATATGAAGATGTAACTAACATCATTTAGTGGAAAGGACTAACCTGAATTTGGGTGCCTGAGCAAGGCGCCGGGTAGCATTAAATGCACGAGGATGAAGCCAGGCAGCTGAGTATGTTCCACTATGACCATCACTCCACACCACCTCTACCTGCTCACCTTCTTCCAGTACCTGGTGACAACCACTTGGTTCCTACAGATGCCTTATACAGTACTATCTACATTCTACAGTATGTCATCTCGGGATTTTTTAATTTACTACTTTAATGAAGAAATCCATTGACTTGCTTAATCCCCCTAATGAGTTTGTCCTTCATTGTCCAGTGTTAGTACAGGAGGAAACCATAGTACCCAGAGAAAACCTGCCATGTTTGGTACAGTCACAAAGACTAACTTCCTTCTCATATCTGACCCAGGGATTAAACTTGGGATGCAATAGTGAGAGGCAAGCGTGCTACAGCTGTACCACCAATACCCCAGTTATAGAATAGTGTAAAGTAGTGTACTGTACTGTACTGTACTGTACTGGGGTTTTCATACGCAAAATTGCATGTGATCTAAATTATCACTTTAGGGTTTTCATACACAAATTTGCTTATGAAGTCAAAAATTAAAATTAAATAATTTTATGTTTACGTATGAATACTAGACACGCAAGACACACATTTGGCAACGTCAGTGCAATCTGGCAACTATGCAGACTGCACTCCAAGGTCAACCACACCATCTCCCTTTTGTGTTTAAAGGAACCACATTTCCCACTCATTTTCGTGCAGCTTGTGCTGATTGCACCCAACGAAATATTAATTTTTTCAAAAATTTTCTTCTATAATTTTTTCCTATACTGTATATGTTAAATATATACGCTATATAATGGAATAAAGTTCATATTGCGGTCACATGAAATAACGAAAGTATAAAGTGATGTATAAACATTTTCATTAAGCGTAAGCAAAATTTTTTGTTCTACTTGCGCTTAGGTATAGAAATATATTTTTTATTTACAATGCTAATGCACCAAATCTCACTTTTTTATCTCAAACAGCAAGCGTGCTATGACTCATCACGTACGATTATCCCTCGTGTTGTGCAGTCAAGTGAGGTGAGGTGAGGTGAGTAACAGGTCAAACCCCGTGCGTCTCGCTGTAGAGCACCTGCCCAAACCCAAGAGTGCTAATATTAATTTGGAACAACTAAAGTTACCCCTCTTTTTATGAATGCTTTATTTATTTAATTTTAATAATGTAATGTACAAATAAAAGAGAAAAACTTTCATTTATGAAAATAATTCCCAAAGAGGATATTTGTTAAGAGCCCATTTGAAACTGCATGCCACATAGTCTACTTGAAACTGGTTCATAATTTGTTTACAATAGTGATGTATGGGGCAACTTTGTTTACACTCTGTTTACATAAATCACAAGTGGCGAGATGTTGCTGTGACCATTTATCCCATTTCTCCTTTTAATTAGAGGACAATGCATCTGGAGAAGGGCATCTACATTATAAATTCTCTCAGTCATACCACATGGTTGATACAGCAATTTCCCCTAGAAGACTATTAAAAGTCTTTGTTCAACTCAGCCTTAAAACAACAGAGCAGGATCAACTGCCTTAGTCCAGTTCCTCCGTTCAGGCAGTCCCACTCTCTATTTTCATAATGGAAGTTAACTGCTGCCCCTATATTGTTTATTGCATTTTTATTATGTCTGACGGGTGGCCACACAGTCCTCAGTGCTAATATTATGTCTCGTTAAAGTTTGTGAGGTGTATTGCAAGCGTTTACATTTATTAATGACCTAGTGTGGGGTTGGTTGGCGAGTTGTTATGCAGACCTTTGTAACTTCACTCACTGAGTGTAACTCTGCATACTGAAAAGTACAGTACAGTGGTCCCTCGGTTAACGAGCACAATCCGTTCTAGAAGGTTGCTCGTTAACCGAAAAACTCGTTAACCGAAACCATTGTTTCAATGGGTTTTGGGGTAATTGGTTCCAGCTCACCAAAAATTGCCTAAATTCAACAAAAAAGGTAGAAAAGTACACTTACTTTGAGGTGTGTATGTAGAAGGCTCCTGGATGATGATGATGATGATGATGATGATGATGATGATGATGATGGGAATTAGAATGGGGTGGAGGAGAAGGGAGAAGAGAAGGCATTGGGGTGGAAGAGAAGTCACCCCATGGCGCCATTTCACCCATAAAATTTTAGTTCTCTTGGTGTAATTCAAAATTATGTTCTTTAAATCAACACTGCACTGCATTATATGTCAATATGTAAAATAAATTTCAAAATGACCAATAATTTACTTGCAAACACAGAAAAAAAGCATTTAGTTGAAGAGAGTCTCAAGCAAGATGTTACTTCCACTGAAAAGATACAAAGACTGACGCCTGTATGGTGTGTTGGCAGGCTGGATGGCATGTTCAATAATTGTTAAAATTACTAAAAAATTTAATATTAAACTTTTAAAATTATTGAATAGTATAAACTTCTTGATATTTACTAAAATGGTAGGGAATTTAAATCCTAGAACCGATTACTGTACTGGCGGACTAATACTACAGCTGGTGGACCGCCAAATGCAAGCGAAAACATGTTCAGGTCAGCTCGTAAGAAACTCGTTAATCGAGGGATTGCTCGTTAACCGAAGTTAAGAATCTTATGGAAGGTAACTCGTTAACCGAAATCTCGTTAACCGAGGCGCTCGTTAACCGAGGGACCACTGTACTGTAGTTGTTTCTAGATGACAGAAATCTGATTAAGGCTTTTAAGAAGATACTGAAATGGAGTTGATATTGGGGATCCAGGATAGCTCTGTTCTGCTACTGGTTGGGAGAAATACAAAGCATCCCACCTTGAGAAGGTGTGTGATCTACTGGATGTCACCTTATATTTGTTTTTATGACATTAGAAGACCTTTCAGGGTTTTTCCTCTTCATTGGACTCTCAGCTGACTTGCAGAATCCATGAATGAGGATTTTTTTTAAGATATAAGAGTGTTAGTGGCACAAAGAGGCATTTACTTCTTCAACCAGTTAGGGAAATAGCCAGTCAGGCAACAACTGTTCCTCATGCTACTGTGAACACAGGTCCCTCCTGTATTTGAAAGGATTTGATTACTGGGTAGAGTACAGTACTGTATTACAATTTTTTATTTCAGTTTAGAAAATGGGGAGGAGGCAGTTATTTGTCCATCTCTGTTGGCCTATGAAACTCAAGGCAACAATTTTATAAGTAAAAATTACATTAAACAATACAGTATCTTGACTTTATAAATGAGCATAATCTTCACTAATAGCTACTCAAGCCTCATCTGGGGGCTGTACATATACTGTAGAGGTAAATATTACCTAGCTATTAAAACACTTCCAAACAGTTACAACCTTACCAGCCTCAGTCACCCATTTAACACTAAAATGATGATAATATTATACAGTATGTCACTTTATCCATCACAGAGATACAGTTGTTAAATCTATGCAACCTTATGATGATGTCCCAATATGCTGTACAGTAAGTGTACCCTTACCTCAGCATCTCTAGTTATTTGATCCCATTTAGTTTACCTACAAAGATAATAGTTACAGTATAAATTTGCTGTAGATACATTTAATTATATTTAAGACTCATCTCTATATCCTTAAAATAACAAAATTCATAATCATGTACCGGTCGTCATGAAACACTCGATGGTATTTAAGATTTATATAATAGAGGTTAACTTTATTTCACATCTTGCCATCACATTGGCAGGAAAGCTGCAGTCTCACAAACTCCACGAACCCCGCTCCTCCCTCGTACCAGCTTCTAAGAGCAGCATCACTAATTAACCAATCAGCATCATGAGTTAAATGTGACATCAGAAGTTGCCAGTTTTGGACAGAAAAGTGCTCTTGCCAGTGAACTTTGATCATTACGATTCAACTTACTTCTTACCACCACAGTGATCTTATTTATATGACTATTTACCATGGGGTTCTAGTTTAAAATCTTGTGTACGCATTTGATTTGTCCTGACTATTTTTTTTTTTTCATATTCGCCACTTATCAGCTTACTAGCCATTTGGGCGGTCTATCCAGTGTTAGTAGAGGAGGAAACCGGGGACCGGGAAACCTGTGGTGTTTGGTAGGGTCACGCTGGATAACACCCTTCTCACGTGTGTCCGGGCCGACGCTCGAACCCTTGACAGATTGGTGAGAGTTATGAAAGTTACCGCTCTACTACAATATTCACTGTAACACACTACTAATTTGTTCACAAGTAGAACTTGAGTTAACATCTTACCTAACTGTTAGATTGAATATTATTTGGATGTTCTGAGTAGGTAGTAGGCAGCTATCAAACAGGGAGGTACTACCGCCTGGGAAGATATTGGAAGCTTAATGTATTGTCTAATGGTAGACCCTGCTGCCATATGGCATCACGAAAATTGTGACCAAGTCCCAGGTTGCTCATCTGACTTTCTGCCTCATTTACACACAATTGCAGGGTCTCAATTGTTTCTCTTACTTTGACAACACAACATACATATAGTGTTTCTTACTACAGTATTGATTTTTTGTTCTTGTTTTTTCTGTATGGTTCTTTATTATTATTATTATTATTATTATTATTATTATTATTATTATTATTATTATTATTATTATTATTATTATTATTATTATTATTATTATTACAATGTTGTTATCATTATTATTTTATTATTTTACTTATATTTTTTTATTTATTATGACAAATTTGATTTACCATGAATTATTATTTTATTTTTAATTTTGTAATTTTATTATAAATTTTATTTACTATGAATTATTATTATTATTATTATTGTTATTACTACTACATTTTCTCCGCCAGGCCCCGATGTGGGTCAGTGACTTATGCCAGGGTGGGCTAATTCCCGAATCCCTGTATAAAAAACAAAAAACAAAAAACTGTAGACTAGAGGTTTCTACGATGTGACATTTATGGTACCAAAAGTGACAACATTCCCAATAGTGTGATCACAAGACTCAGTAAGATTAAAGGTCCACAGTACAGTACCAAGGACTCAATTACATACAACCATTAAACATAAGGGTTATGCTGTACTACCTGGGCAGTGTGAGGCTGAGTGTTAAGATCAAACTCCCCCATAAGATGTATGCGAGAGTTAGAGGCAGCATGAAAACAAGATGGGCACTGGCAGTTATCTCGTAGCCACACATATGGGAACACATCTGTTTCACCATCAGTCCACTTCACCTGCAAGAGTTAAGTGTTTTAAAGATTAAGAGTCATCAAAAAATGATATGTGAGATTCCACCAACTAGAAAACTTTCTGGCAGTGCTTGCTTTGTCCAGAAAGTTAAAATGCATAATACATCAGTGTAAATTATCACACAGCAATCCACTAAACTGTTCCAAAATCCTAACCCCCACCCCCCCAAAGTTCCCCAGACAATCAGCTGAGCTTCATGATCACTGGGAAGGTTCACTTGCATCCTCTTACTCCAGTAAACCATTAATAAAAATTCAAATGCTTAAATTCTCACATGATCTTGTTGAAAATATAAAATACAGTATAGTGTAATAAATACACAGTGTAACTGAATAAATATTCATCATCATCATCATCATCATCATCATCGTAATACTAATTTCCTGACTTGTGTGAGTTAGCTGTGATTACCTGATGGCATGGTGACCTGGTTGCCATCAGTCAAATTTGAAGGATGTTCAGTGACCTGATGCCTTTCCTATCACCAATCCACTTTTAAAGAGTGGGAACTGGGCATTATATGTAAGACATCCAACAACTCTCTTAGATAACAATCTTAGATAACAAGGTAGAGCTGCTACTCCCTGAGGTAACCAAAGATTACCCTCTTACCTGCAAAATATCCCACTCAGGTGATTAAGGCTGATCACCTGAACCCCCAATGTAAATTTTTTTACTGAATTAATATTCTTTTCTATCTGGTGATGGAAGAGACGGACCTGGAGTCATCATTAATAACCTAAATCAAAGGCAAAATCTGTGCAATGAAAACACCTAAATTCTCTGACCCCCAGAAGTCAACCCTCTGTCAGCACAATACTAAACTTAATTTTCTGGGATGCCAGTGGGATTCTGCTGACTGACTACATGTCAAAAAAAATATCACTGTTGATTATTCTGCTGACTAAATGTGTGAAAATTCTACCATGTCATCTAGGAAAAATATTTGAAAATACTGTGCTGGCTAGAGGTGTGCTCCTGAAACAACAATGCATCAGTCCACAAATCCTGTGCTACACAGATTTCTATGAATGTGGTTTAGAACATCTCAACCATCCTCCCTACTGATCTGATCTGACCCCAGATGACTATAATCTTTTCAAAACCTTAAATTCCATTTCTGAGGTTGCTGCTTTCTGCATGATGAGGAGCTGAAGGAGGCTACTGAGGCATGATTTGATGAGCAGTGTACTTAAGTCAGGGGAGACTATGCTGAAAAAATATAAGTTGTGGTTCTGCCTTTTTATCTTTTACTGCACCCAATTTGCAAAACCTTTTGGCCTCATATTTAGGCAGAGATGAGTACACTCACTAAGACATATGCATTTTCTGAAAAAGTTGACTTCTATAGTCCTAAGATGCTTTTGTGAATTTTCAATTTTCGTCAGTTCATTTATCTGTTTATTGCCTGAGAAAAACATAGCATAATTCATATGGTTCACTGTAAATATCTATAAATGATTACCTCAAGCATGGCTGTCTTGTGATTCACAGAGGCATGAGTGACTGTCACAGCAGGTGCCTCTGTAACTCTTCTCACTCCCTGGTCCTCCCATGATTTCTTGGCACCTTGTCCAGATACACAGCAAGATCTGGAGCTGTACAGGGAAAACTTAAGTACAGTAAGCAAATGTAAACATGTATATCAACGTCTAAATAAAACAAAAAATCTTTACAGAGTATTTAAAAAAAAATAATTAAAAGTCAAAAAAAAAAACTCGGTAGAAATCAGTTGAATTAAAAATTTTGGTAAGTAAACAATAAAAATCACAAAAAAATGTAAATCTCTAAATAGCATGTACAGTAAAACAGTCAAAAAGCATTTTATTCATCTTCAAATCCTGCGAAGTCGTCACTGTTGGATTCATCGCCAAGCTCTGAATCATCACTACTGTCAGTCTTGTACAACAAGTTGTCTTCAGTACCATCCATAGCATTACTGATACCACATTTTTTGAAAGACTTAACGATAACTTTAGTTTTAATATCACACCATGACTTCAGCACCCATTCACACACTTCAGATATTGATGGACGTTTCATCCTTCCAGTCAGCGTCATATCATGATTCCCCTCTGTCATCCATTTATTCCATTGCTCCCTCATGTTATTCTTAAAGGGTTTATTAATGCTGACATCGAGCGGCTGTAACTGGGAAGTCGGGCCACCAGGAAATACTGCCTGCTGTGTGTTGAGCCCCTTTGCTAGCCTTTTGGTGTTTTCAGTCCTGTGAGCACTAAACTGATCCCATACTAGCAGTGAATTCTTTCGTAGCAGGCCACCACGACACTTGGACCACACTTTATCCAACCATACCTTGACACCTTCTTCATCCATCCATCCCTTGGGTTGTACAATGAAATGAATTCCATTTGGCAGTTTTCCTTCGGTAATGTGTTTCTCTTGAAAATTAACAGAGGCGGTTGTTTGGTCCCGTCGGCACAGCAAGCTAAAACTACAGTGTAGTGAGTCTTCATGTCCAGTGGTTTTAACAATCATCGATTTCATCCCTTTTACATTTACACTTTTATTAGATGGCACATCAAAAGTCAAAGGTACTTCATCCATAGGCATTCAAGTATCAGTAGGTTCTCAAATTTCACGAGTTTTTAATTCAACGTTTTTTATTTGGGCGCAAACAAAAAAAAGAACACTACACAATTTCAAATTTCGACAGCAGAAACTTGAATTTCGACGGGTTTGAGAGTGCAAAATGAACAATAAAATTCATTAATAATACGTATTACCGTATATTAAAACATACGAGAAGACGAGACGGCATTGTTTTCGTTAATGTTTACAAAACTAGTGACTGAATGGTTCTACGTATACAGTAAAACTGAAGAAAATAAGACCCTGGTTGTAGCTGTAGTAAAATTAATGTAAATAAATTAATATGGTTGTTTTAAGTACAGTGGTCCCTCGGTTAACGAGCACAATCCGTTCTAGAAGGTTGCTCGTTAACCGAAAAACTCGTTAACCGAAAAACTCGTTAACCGAAACCATTGTTTCAATGGGTTTTTGGGTAATTGGTTCCAGCTCACCGAAAATTGCCTAAATTCAACAAAAAATGTAGAAAAGTACACTTACTTTGAGATGTGTATGTAGAAGGCTCCTGGATGATAATGATGATGATGGGAATTAGAATGGGGGTGGAGGAAAAGGGAGAAGAGAAGGCAGTGAGGGTGGAAGAGAAGTCACCCCATGCCGCCATTTCACCCATAAAATTTTAGTTCAGTTGGTGTAATTCAAAACTATCTTCTTTAAATCAACACTGCACTGCACTATATATTATCAATATGTAAAATATATTTCAAAATGACCAATAATTTGACTGGAAACACAGAAAAAAGCATTTATGTTGAAGAGTCTCAAACAAGATGTTCCTTCCTCTGAACTGGTAAACAAACTGATGCCAAGCTGGTGTGTTGAGAGGCTTTTTGGCGCGCAAAAAATAGTTTCCTGTACTTCAATTATGTTCAATAATTGTTAAAATTACTACAAAATTTAATATAAAACTTTTAAAATTATTGAATAGTACAACCATCTTGATATTTACTAAAATGGTAAGGAATTTAAGCCCTAAAACCGATTAATGTATTGGCGGACTAATACTACAGCTGGTGGGCAGCTAAATGCAGGCGAAAGCAAGTTGGAAAAAATTCGTAAGGAATTCGTTAACCGAGGGTTTGCTTGTTAACCGAAGTGAGGAATCTTATGGAAGGTAATTCGTTAACCGAAATTTCGTTACCCGAGGCGCTTGTTAACCAAGGGATCACTGTATTCAATATAATTCAATTAATTAATTGAGTTGTTGGAAGTCAAAATTCAGTGAAGCCAGAAATATTATAAAATATAGATAATAAAGGGAAACAAATAAATACCAGTCCAGTGCATAAGTGGTATATTAGGCTAGTAAACTGATAATTCAATTAATTAATTTAGTTTTTAAAATTTACTGGTAAACATAAAAGTCCTTCAGTTTTTTAGTGAAAATTAAATAGTAAATTCAATGGTGTGCAGAATGAACCTGGTAGAGGTGTGGTTATATTAGTGAGGAATTCTCTTATTTCTCTTGTAGACAATGTAAATTTCCATTTGTATGATAAAGCGGTATGGTGTAAGATCATTATGAAAAGGAAAAATATACTAATTGGTGCTGTGTATAGGGCTCCTATTACAAGTCGTGAGAAGAATCTTTTATTGAATCACCTAACCAAGTTGTTTCCTTTCCTCGTGGATGTAGTGTTAAATCTCCTTGTTTTGCTCTACTAAGATACTATTCCTGTTGTAAATATGTCTTCTCGTGGATGTTTGAACAATCCAAACGTATTCTGCTGCAAATGTGGGTGCTTTGTTGTGCATAAGCAACGAAAAGAAATACCTGTAATCGCATTCGTGGAAAATGCATATTTTACCTACTTTGGAGTGAAAATAGGTGATTTAGAGAAACCATGGGCACCACATAAAGTATGTCGCTCTTGTGTTGAAGGTTTAAGACTGTAGAAATATGGTAAGAAAAATTTTATGCCATTTGGAGTCCCTATGATATGGCGGGAGCCTAAAAATCATGGTGATGACTGTTATTTTTGTTCTGTGAAGATAGAAGGATAAAATGCAAAAAAATAAACAAGGAATCATTTATCCCAAGATTCCATCTGACATGAGACCAGTGCCACATGGTCCTGAGGTTCCAGTCCCCATTCTGCCAGATGTGTTGCAGTCAGTGTCATCAGAATCTTCCGTTACCTGACGATAAATCAGGTAACGGAAGTGATGTTTATCAACCTGAAGATATAAGTGATGTACCGGAGGTGTTTACCCAGAGTGAACTTATCGATATGGTTAGGGATTTGAATTTACTAAAGGAGTCTGCTGAACTTTTAGGATCTAGGTTGAAACTAAAGAAGTTATTGACCAAAGGGACATATTTTTCATGGTATAGGCTGTCATGATCGTAATGACGGCTAACCTGTTAAACTAATGATCCATATTACGCTTACACGTCCACAAAACCTTCTGAGTCTCCCAGTGGAAATGTCCTCTGTTCTCCCTGTTTCTTTGATGACGTCATCGAGATGTCGTATGTTTGTTGACTGTAGTTGTAAACTTTTTCGGCTACCGAGAACCTGTAAACGTTTTTTTTTTCACCTACGATTAGCAGAGACTCTGATAATCATAGTGAAATTGTGGTAGGGAGGTTAACTGAGGAATTAGTTAATATTCTGAAGGGAACTTTTAAAATCTGCCTCGGGTGTTGTAGCAAGGCGTTGCGTGTTGAGACCTGTTGCCATCCTACCTTTTGTGATCAATTTAATTCTTGCTTTTGATTGCTCAGTCAGAGCATTGTTTGTAAAGATAATAGTTGGGAATGAAACTGAGTTCGTAGTCTCAGTTTCAAACGTCAGAGTGTTACAGTAACGTAATTCAGTGAAATGGTTGAGTAGGTGGAATCTGTGACTTTAGCGGGGGTGGAAGGCGGCGGTTGGTTTTCAAAATCAGTGAGCCGCCACGCCTCCCTCCCATAGGTAGGTCACTCCACCTTCTCCGTGTTGTAATTCGCCATTTTTAAGTGATTTGACCTAATTAATAGTTTGTACAAGTGTTAAAGTAACGTAGTTAATGTGCTTTGAGTGAAGTATTTTATGTCCTTACTTAATGCCCCTTTGAAACGTTGAGGTTCGTTATACACCGTGAGTGAGCTGTCATGCTTCCCTCCCACAGGTCCCTAACGCATCCTAGGCCGTGTCTGTAGCGAGGATGACGCATCCACTAGTCTTGGGAGATGTCTGAGGTCCAGTGGAGACGGGTGTCCCCTTGAACCCCGACCGTCAGAAGCTCCACTACCACCCATGGGCCCCATAGGGCGTAGTATTTCCCTTAACGCCCTGCCCCTGTGGTGAACCCGGATCTTCAAGCCCCCAACTACTGCCAGCCCCATCATTGGTGGATGAGTACAGTACATAACACGGTGGGGCTGTTGGTGTGGTGGTGTTAGTTCACCGGAATTATCGGAGTTTGTTGGAAGGTGTCACTTGGTGATGAGACTCCCAGGGCAACCCCTGGAGTATTGCCCCTGAGGTACTGAGTGTTGTACTGGCAGGTGCCACTGGTTTTATTGGTACTAAGGTGCTGCAAGACTTTATGTGCATTTTGGTGTGGGTACACCCAGTAGTGGTGCAAGTAAATTGAGCCTGAGGGCATGGTACCAGGGGTTCCTGTTTTGGGTGAATACAGCGTCTTTTCTGTAACCATTTTTGTGTTTATTAAACATTGCATTTGTATGTGGGTCTATGATTCACCTATAGTATTCACCGTTGTTCTCCCCCTAATACTCGATACTATATTTACATGTACCCATGGGCCTGTAGGGTTTCGTGATATAATGTTGTCTAGCACTCAGGATAGATGGAAACTCTAAGGTGGTGGTTTTCTTATATAATATAAGTTATATGGTAGACAGTCTGGTGCTGGAGATGCCGTGTGGTGAGGAGCTGCTCAGTAGACACGTTCGGTGAGTAGCGTGTTGAAGGAGGTAGATGTGCAGGAGCTTCGTTAGAGAAGATGTTGCCTGTTGCTGGCCTCCAGGTTGAATGAGAACGGGACAGTGAGGAGCTTGCTTGGAGGAGGTGTTGCGTGTTCAGGAACCGAGAGCAGAATGAGAGAGCTGGTTGGTGAGGACGCTCAGAGAAGGACAGCTGGTGGGTCGCCATGCTCGCCGGCGGGAGCGAGGACCGCCAGGCAGGAGGAGGAGAAGCGAGGGCCGCCAGGCAGCGGCGGAGGAGGAGGTGTTGCGTGTTCAAGAAGAGAGGCCAGAATGAATCTCAATGGAGAGACAGAGCTTATATACACAGCCACCGGAAGTAAACTCGCCAGTTTCTCGACTCGGTTGCTAGGGAAGACGTGGCTGGTTGCTAGGATACTGTGGCATCTGGTGACGCCCCCCCCTGGGCCGCTCGTTTGGTTGCTAGGGAAGATGTAGCAGGTGGCATGCGGCTACGCAGTTGTAGGGGAGACGTCCACTACAATACTCCCCCTTCCCTCCAGGCGGTGTAGGAGACTTGTTGTCTGTAGAGTTGCTTAGCACATGTGAGGCAGAACGGGCGGTGCATGCCTCATGTGAGACAACGGCGATGGCGTGGATGAGCCGGTCGCTGGATACAACTGTCTATATACACACTATCTGTGGGAGAAGAGAGGGAGAAAAAGGGTGTGTGGAGGCGATGAATGTTGTGCTTCCCTCACGGCAGGTACAGAGTCGTCAGATGCGCCTGCTGGGGTGTGTGGGCCTGGGTCAGGAGCAGGGGCTGCGTCAGCAGAAGCGGATGAGGGCTCGTGACAGCAGCTGGGTCCACGACAGCAGCAGGGTGCAGGACATTAGCAGGGAGTACCTGAGGGAGAAAAAGGGTGTGTGGAGGCGATGAATGTTGTGCTTCCCTCACGGCAGGTACAGAGTCGTCAGATGCGCCTGCTGCGGTGTGTGGGCCTGGGTCAGGAGCAGGGGCTGCGTTAGCAGAAGCGGATAAGGGCTCGTGACAGCAGCTGGGTCCACGACAGCAGCAGGGTGCAGGACATTAGCAGGGTGTACCTGAGGGAGAAAAGAGGGGTGTGTGGGTCCGCACTCAGGAACAGAGGCCGCGTCAGGGGCGGCAGGGGTTACTGCTGGGCCGGGGTCGGCGTCTGAGGCAGGACGGGTGTGCTGGGGTCGGTAGGATGTGGTGCTTGGGGCAGGAAGAGGAGCTGGTGTCTGCTTAGAGTAGCAGAGCTTCTTCTGTGTGGATAAGCCAGTCTTCTATGCTGCTTGAAGACTGGGAGCGTGATCAGTTTCTCCTCCATCCTGTGTGAGTGCGAATCTCCGGGGGTCACCATTTGTAGGGTTTCGTGATATTATGTTGTCTAGCACTCAGGATGGATGGAAACTCTAAGGTGGTGGTTTTCTTATATAATATAAGTTATATGGTAGACAGTCTGGTGCTGGAGATGCCGTGTGGTGAGGAGCTGCTCAGTAGACACGTTCGGTGAGTAGCGTGTTGAAGGAGGTAGATGTGCAGGAGCTTCGTTAGAGAAGATGTTGCCTGTTGCTGGCCTCCAGGTTGAATGAGAACGGGACAGCGAGGAGCTTGCTTGGAGGAGGTGTTGCTTGTTCAGGAACCGAGAGCAGAATGAGAGAGCTGGTTGGTGAGGACGCTCAGAGAAGGACAGCTGGTGGGTCGCCATGCTCGCCGGCGGGAGCGAGGACTGCCAGGCAGGCGGAGGAGAAGCGAGGGCCGCCAGGCAACGGCGGAGGAGGTGTTGCGTGTTCAAGAAGAGAGGCTAGAATGAATCTTAATGGAGAGACAGTGCTTATATACACAGCAGCCGGAAGTAAACCCGCCGGTTTCTCGACTCCGTTGCTAGGGAAGACGTGGCTGGTTGCTAGGATACTGTGGCATCTGGTGACCCCCTGGGCCGCTCGTTTGGTTGCTAGGATACTGTCGCATTGGAATACGGCTAAGCAGTTGTAGGGGAGACGTCCACTACAGGCCTTTCTCTCACGTCACGCTACCAGGTCAGAGTATCAACATACCTAAGTAGTAAGAGTGCCAAGCCCTCGCAGGGTGGCAGCTAGTTGTTGTTCATACCCCCCCCCCCCTTACAAGGCAACGTGAACAAGAATTAGTTAAATAAAAAATTTCAGAGGAAGGCTCCTTGGTTTATTGTAATAATGTGTCTGCTTTAATTAACTACAGTATTTTGGCATTACCTATGCAGCTACTGAATGGAGGTTGTTCATTGATTTTTCAAAAACATGTCTCAAAGGAGTTTTACTTCATAATAGAAATGTATTTTCATCAATTCCTGTGGCTCACTCTGTTCATCTTAAGGAAATTTATGAAAATTTTTACATAGTTCTAGAGAAAGTTCATTATAAAGATCGTGGTTGGTTGGTTTGTAGAGATTTCAAAGCCAATGCTTTGTTGCTTGGTCAACAGAGTGGATACACGAAAATGCCATGATTTTTGTGTGAGTGGGACAGCAGAGCAAGACGTGAACATTGTGACAAAAACACTGGTCACCTAGACAAGCTCTTGCGCCAGGTTCAAAAAATATTCTACATGAACCATTGACTGACCCTAAAAAAGTCATGTTGCCTCCTTTGTATATTAAATTAGGGTTAATGAAACAATTGATTGGTTGCGAGTCCATGACGTAATTACTATTTTCTATAATATGTCTGGTGAGGGATAACGAAGATCCCAGATACAGTAATTATATCAGAGTAGTCCTCATACTCGGTGAATTTCATTGTTCCTGTCATTAGTTTTATAAATTTCTGAATAATAAACACTGCATTATACACCATTCAGAGTGTTATATGAGATTGTCGGGTACGGGTTTTTGGTTCACACTCAGAATGGGATGGAGAAAGGAAACTCACAATGTGCTCACTATATACATATTGTATTGGATGTACAATGCAGCTTGTTGCTGGGTAGGTAGCATGGTAATAAGCATTGAGTAGAGAAAGCTGGTTGGTGAGGGTGCCAGAGGAGGGCATGCGGCTTGAGGGACGCCAAGGTGGCGAGGGTGCGGGAGCCTCCAGGCTGGCGCGGAGGAGGTGTTGCTTGCTGGTGGCACTGTGTAGAACGAGAGCGGTCACAGCGGTGTCAGGCCTTATAAGGCGGGGGTAGGCGTGGGTAGATAGTTGACCCCCGCTCCGTGGGCGGCGCTGGAGGCGTAGGCTGGGGAATTCGAGAAGGTTCGGTGCTTGTAGGGGAGGAATCCACTACAATACTCCCTTCCCCTCCGGGCGCGGCGGGAGGCTGGAGGTTGGCAGGGTTGCGTGCCACATGTGAGGCAGAATGGGCTGTGCATGCCACATGGGAGACACAACGTCGAGGGCGTGGATGAGCCGGCCACTAGGGGGGACAGCTCTGTCTAGATACACGAGATCTGTGGGAGAAAAGAGGGGGAAGGAGGGTTGTGGAGGCGATGAATGTTGTCCTTCCCTCGCGACAGGTACAGCGTCCTCAGATGCGCCTGCTGGGGTGTGTGGGCCTGGGTCAGGAGCAGGGGCTGTGTTAGGAAGAGTGTCCATGACAGCAGCAGGGTGCATGACAGCAGCAGGGTCCACAACAGCACCAGGGTGCAGGACAGTAGCAGGGGGTACCTGAGGGAGAAAAGAGGGGTGTGGGTCCGCGCCAGAAACAGGGGCCGCATCAGTAGGAGCAGCAGGGGGTACTGCTGGGCTGGGGGCGGCGTCTGAGGCAGGACGGGTGTGTTGGGGTCGGTAGGACGTGGTGCTTGGGGCAGGAAGAGGAGCTGGTGTCTGCTTAGAGTAGCAGAGCTGCTCTAGGGTGTCTAACCTGCGGTGTAGAGACAGTAGTTGTAGAGCCGATGAGAGCTACCTCTGCGTGGGTAAGCCAGTCTTCCATGTTGCTTGAAGACTGGGAGAATGATCAGTTTCTCCTCCATCTTGTGTGAGTGCGAATCTCCGGGAGTCACCATTTGTGGGGGTATGAAATATTGGTTCACACTCAGGAAGGGATGGAGAAAGGAAACTCACAATGTGCTCACTGTATACATATTGTATTGGGTGTACAATGCAGCTTGTTGCTGGGTAGGTAGCATGGTAATAAGCATTGAGTAGAGAGAGCTGGGTGGTGAGGGTGCCCAGAGGAGGGACACGCGGCTTGAGGGACGCCAAGGTCGCTGGCAGGAACGGCAGCTGCCAGGCTGGCGCGGAGGAGGAGGTGTTGCTGGCTGGTGGCACTGTGTAGAAAGAGGCTGGTCACAGCGGTGTCAGGCCTTATAAGGCGGGGGTAGGCGTGGGTAGATAGTTGAACCCCGCTCCGTGGGCGGCACTGGAGGCGTAGGCTGGGGAATTTGAGAAGGTTCGGTGCTTGTAGGGGAGGAATCCACTACAACCCGTTGTAAACTCTACTCTGTAATCCTTTTGCGCTACCGCTCACAGGATGAGTGTGGGGTGCACAATAAAGAAGCCACTGTAAGCGGCAAAATCAAAATCAATCTGAGGCGACGGATTGGCGGTGAGTGGTACTGGACATACGCGGAGATTTAAATCATTGTTAATAATGATACATTTGAATTTTTGTGTGTCTGTATTTAATGTTTTTCCTTTCACCTAAACTCTCCTAAAGGCTGTCGTTACCCCCGTTGAATGAGAAATTACCCCCAGTGGGGTAATTTACCCCTATTTGGGAATCTAAGCAGAACCAACTTCAACTGAGATTGACTGCAAGTTGTCGTTTCTTTTAATATACTTAAAATCATCAAAACCATAAGTACAGCAAAAATAAAGAAAATCAACAAACACCTTCTAATGATAAAAGTTTCATTAACATTTACCATCCTATATATTAACCGTCAATATCATATATCGAGTCAATATTATTGAACGTGTGTGAGCAGCTTAACAGAGACGTGACAAACTACCAAAGCAGTGTAGAGAAATTTTCTAAACTTGTTGCTAAGACCAGACCACTTTCACTTTCCAAACACGAATAAGATAAATTATTGCTAGGGTTACTCACCTGAGGCAAATGGGTACGTCTGACTTTGAGAGGATATTTGAAGATACAACAGCAGAACGAAGTCCAGCAGTGATATCACCCCACCCCATGAAGCGGCGATATGAAGCTCCAGAAGCTCCACCCACCAACAGTCTTCGCATAACCTGCGCAGTCATCTCAATTTTCCTCTTCACTTTTTTAATATGCAGTAGACATGAATCAAGTTATACAGTATACTGTAACTGGTGTCCAGTCTCAAAATAATTCTGCTGCGCAGTACATAAGAACATAAGAATGGAGGAAACTGCAGCGGGCCTATTGACCCATACTGTTCAATATTTGTAAACAAAGATAAACAGTATTACCAGTCCTGAACCAGGCCTCTCTACATAGCGAAAAGCTGTAGCGTACTGTTGTAGCAGGTTGTTAGGGTCTCTTATTTGGCCTCACAACGTACGTACATGTAATATATCCAACACTCAGGATTGAGGTAGAATAGAAAGTCACAATGTGTTTCCCGTAATATATATTGTTGCACAGCACAGTGTTAAAGAGATACTAGGTTGGGCGATGCTTGCTCAGAGTTCCTGTAGGGCGAGGAGCTTTCTGAAGGAGCGCGTGGTGTGGAGCTGTTTAAGTTTAACAAATTTATTGGCAGAGCGTGTAGTACAGTTTGCCTATTCTAAGTAATTCAGTCAGGTCTTGACACTGAGGGTGGTATCACTTCTCACTGCCACGCAGGACAGAGGTTCGTACACAAAGAGATACATCATATTCATTGACAGTACATATACATATATGTAAACACACACACACACATATACATACATATACAGTACATATATACATACTCATATACATGTACATATACAGTATATACACACACGCACACATACATACATATACGTCGGTCAGATTCATGTGGGTAATGCCACTGTTCACTGCCATGCAGGACAGAGGTTCGTACACAAAGAAGGAAATACTGTACATCATATTCATTAGCAGTATATATAGGTCAGTGGATCACATACATTGGAGTCTTTTACTTTTTACTTTTATCCTCTTCGCCACTGATCGGCTTGTTAGCCGCTTGGGCGATCGGTCACGACTCTTTTCCTTTATATTCTTCACCAAAAGGTCGGCTCGCTAGCCGCCCGGGCGATCGGTCACGTCTCTGTCACGCACTGTTGGCAAATACTGGGCATGCACCGGCTCCTGAATGTACCTGAACCCGCTCCAGTGTTGGTCAAGTCTTCTCTTGAAAGAGCTCACACTCGGTGCCGTCACAACACTTTCTGGTAGATTGTTCCAAGAGTTTACAACCCTCACTCCGAAAAAGTTTGCCCTCACGGTTTTCCGGACTTGCGGCTTCTTCAATCTTGAGCTGTGACCCCTTGTGGGGCGAGCGTCCGCCAGCTCCAAGTAAGGACACTCAACTGAGTAGTGCCCCCTGAGATGCTTATAAACCTCAACTAGGTCCCCCCTTGCCCGTCTGTAGTATAAGCTAGGCAAGTTCAGGCGCTCCAATCTCGCAGGGTAGCTGAGATGCCGAAGTGCAGGCACCAGCTTGGTGGCCCTCCTTTGAACATTTTCAACCAACTGACAGTCCCTAGCATATCTCGGGGACCAGATGGGGTGACAGTACTCCAGATGGGGAAGCACTTCACTCCTGAAGATCGTCACGAGGGACGGACCGTCTAGATATCTGAACGACCTTCTTATAAGACCCAATAATTTATTTGCCTGATTTACCTTCTTCTCACAATGGCCCGAGAACTTCAGCTCATTGTCAACATACACACCTAGGTCCTTCTCACACACAGTCTCAACTAGTACATTTTCTTCATCCCGTTGGGACATATGGTACGCCTCCTTACCGTTGGTACGCCCCAGGTGCATCCTCTTACACTTCGTGACATTGAATCTCAGCAGCCATTCCTTCGACCATTCCTGGAGCCCACAGAGGTCCTTCTGCAGCTCTTCACAGTCCGCTTGGTTCTTAATTTCCCGAAATAACTTGGCGTCATCGGCAAACATTTGTATGGAGGAGTGTACAACGTCAGGCATATCATTTATGAAACAAACAAACAACAGCGGGCCCAATACACTACCCTGCGGTACCCCACTTGTTACAGGTACAGATGACGATTTCGTGCCATTAATCACCACACATTGCTTGCGGTCATGTAGAAAGTCTTCTATCCACGCTAGGACATTTCCCCGAATTCCGTACCCTTCCAGTTTGATTTTCAGCCTTTCGTGGGGTACACTGTCGAAAGCCTTGGCAAAATCTAGGTAAATATTGTCGATATTACCACCCCGTTCTAGAATATGGGTCCAAATATCCAATACCTTGAGCAATTGTGTCAAGCAAGAGCGCCCCGGCATAAAACCGTGTTGGCAATCTTTTACAAGGTTGTTTCGTAGTAGATGTTCCATCGCTGCATCTCTGATAATACTCTCAAGTACTTTACATATTATGCTGGTCAGGCTCACCGGTCTATAGTTGTTCGTGGAGTGCCTATCGCCCTTCTTGAAGATAGGACTCACATAAGCCACTTTCCATTCACTGGGGACCATTTGTTCATCCAGGCATTTACAAAACAGAATCTTCAGGGGCTCTGCAAGCTCGTTGCACAGCTCCCTTAGCACTCTAGGATGCACCATGTCAGGTCCAGGACTCTTATTCTAATTGAAGACTAATCAGTGTGGGCTAGCAAATTTGGGATAAACAGCAAGAATATCCTCAAGCTGTTGAGAGATGTTGCTTTCTGGTGGCGGCCAGGGTTGCCAGATGTACAACAAGCTTCACAGCCAACTTTACGCCATCTTACGGCCAAAACGGCCAAAACTTTTTGGATGGGAAGCACAAGGCTATTTTTACAATCCACACAAAATAAAAGTATCCCCTACAATATCCACTTAAAATGTAATAAAACCAAATTTTCACTTAGAATTGAGAGCCCAATAATTACATAAACATAATATCTATAATCTACAGTGAAGATTTACCTTAATCTGAAATGGTGGTGGAGCATGATAATGGTGGAGAACTTGATAACACTAGTTGGCGTAAGCAAAAACGTCTAGTTCGTCACCGTCCTCTGGTTTGATATATTTTCTCCCACTGTCCTAGGACCCTTTCCATTTACTAGTGGACATTTTGAAAACTAGCACTCGGAATTTCAGAAAGTAACTCAGATAGCTTTGTAAGCTCTGAAGCTTAACCGATATGCTGGACACGTTCAGCCTTAACAACTCAAATATGAGAACTAACAACTAAGGTAGTTACTAGAAAGATCAGTCAGCTCAGTAGGTCACGTAAACATGTGAAGAGGTGAGGATGTGGGGTACGGGTATTTGGTTCACACTCAGGATGGGATGGAGAAAGGAAACTCACAATGTGCTCTCTGTATACATGTTACATAAGAACATAAGAAAATAAGGAGTCTGCAATAGGCCGGTTGGCCTGTGCATGGCAGCTCCTGTCGAGAGTTACTACCACTCTCCATCATCCATGAATCTATCTAGCCTCCTTTTGAAACTTTCCAGAGTTCCCGCACTTACTACAAAGTTGCTAAGCTTGTTCCACTCGTCCACCACACTATTTGTGAACCAGTTTCTTCCTATCTCCCTCCTAAACCTAAACTTATCCAACTTGAATCTGTTGCTCCGAGTCCTCTCCTGCTCGGATATTATAAGAACTTTATCTATATCCCCTTTATTGATTCCTTTCACCCACTTAAATACTTCTATCATATCTCCCCGCACTCTTCGTCTTTCTAGGGAATGCAAGTTAAGTTTCTTTAACCTATCCTGATATGGAAGGTTTCTAAGTCCCGGAATCATTTTTGTCATTCTTCGCTGCACCGACTCTAGTGAATTTATATCCATTCTATAATAGGGGCACCAGAACTGAACCGCATAATCGAGGTGCGGCCTAACTAGCGCAAGATAGAGTTGCAATAAGACCTCTGCACTCTTGTTACTTACACTTCTAGATATAAAACCCAATACTCTGTTTGCCTTATTTCGAACATTAACGCACTGTTTTCTAGGCCGTAGGTCCGGGCTTACAAGTACCCCTAGGTCTCTTTCACAAGTCGACTTCTCTAGGTTGATGTTGTTCAGGCTGTATACATTATAAGTATTTGTTCTTCCAATATTAAGTACGCTGCACTTGCTGGTGTTGAATTTCATTTGCCATTTTTCAGACCACCCCTGCAGTTTATTTAGATCCTCCTGTAATGCATTTGCATCCTGCCCTGAATTAATTTGCCGCCCTATTTTGGTGTCATCCGCAAACTTGCTTATGTCACTGCTGATCCCAGTATCTAAATCGTTTATGTAGATTATGAACAAGAGTGGGCCTAGTACTGACCCCTGGGGAACCCCACTGGTTACACGGCCTCACTCAGATTTAACACCATCTACGCTGACCCTCTGCGTTCTATCGGTGAGCCATGATTTTATCCAATTTAAAACTTCCCCTCGATACCATGAGCCTTAATTTTTTTTCAGAAGCCTCTGATGCGGTACTCTGTCAAATGCTTTGCTAAAGTCTAAGTAAATAACATCGTAATTTTCGTCATTATCTACTACCTCGAAGACTTTCCTAAAAAACGTTAGCAGATTTGTTAGACAAGATTTTCCCTTTGTAAACCCATGTTGAGAGTCGTAGATTAATTTGCTTTTCTCTAGATGCGATCGGATGCTATCTGCTATAATTAATTCAAGAAATTTCCCCACTACTGACGTCAAACTGATCGGCCGGTAATTTGACGCTGATGCTCTGTCTCCCTTTTTAAATATGGGTACTACATTCGCCTGTTTCCACAAGTCTGGCACAACTCCAGTTTCTAATGATTTTGTAAATAAGTTTACGAGGGATCCGCTAATCTGTTCCTTACACTCTTTTAAGACTCGAGGAAAAATTTCATCCGGCCCTGGGGATTTTGTGTTCTTTAGTTTATTTATCTTCTTAAGAACATCCTCTTTTCTGATAGTGATATTCTTTAATTTCTCTTCTTCCTTTCCCTTAAATATCAGTTCCACCTCCGGAATTTCATCGCAAATTTCTTCTGTGAAAACTGATAAGAAGTAGCTGTTTAATGCTTTGCTCATGTCTTCACTGCCATTTATCAATTCTCCCCTCCCTGACTTTAAAGGCCCAACTTTGTCCTTGACCTTTGTCCTATATACCTGGAAAAATCCCTTGGGATTCGCCTTGGATTCTTTTGCTATTTTGATTTCAAAGTCTCTCTTTGCTTTCCTTACATTTTTCTTAACATTCCTAGATAGTTCATTATACCTGTTTCTGAGCTGCTCCTCCCCTCCCTTTAATTTCTTATATATTC